ATAAATCACTATTCGCTCTGCCAGTTGCAAGAGATGGTCTACAAAAAAAAATATGGATCTGAGCATCTTCCTTTATACCCAAAATAATGAAATCAATAAGAAAATAATTTTTTTACTGTTACTAGGACATTTTCGATAACCTCCCTTAAAAAAGTTAAAAAAATAATCAACTAATTGAAGAGTCATAGTGGTAGGTTAAAGTTCTCCTAGTTTCAATCTTTCGAACACTGAAAAAGACATCAAATTTTTGCTTGCTCTTGAGTTACATAATACTTTTCCATCAATTGGTCGCTTGTAGTGCATGAAAATGTAAAAATACATGAATCCTTAATTTTTTTGTGAGAGTTTTCGTTGAATTATAGCACTGTAATTTTGAGTTAACATCACAGTTTCAAAATTCAAAATTGAATTATAGAACTGTATCCTCCCAGCCTAGCCGCAGATTCAGTAAACAAGCGTAGGATTAGTCAATGTTCTTTATGCCTGGACCAAAGGGTAAAGAATAGGTATGCTCCTATTTGACATAATATAAATTGAACTAATTCACTTTATCCATTCACTATAATTTCTTGACAAGGAGAATGATGCTTTCTTATATATTGAATATCACAATTAGACCCTCATTAGTATCATTAGTTATTTAATAGTTATTAAATTTACCTATTTATTTCAATTGCCTATTAGTGACATATAAGCAAATTGAACTTTGTTGTTGTGATTAATGCATTGCTTTTCTAAAATCTTACTTCGCAGTTCTAAACCACTTCCTGTGGGATCCATATCTAGGACTATATTAAAGCCCTATATTACTTGAGCGATACGTATACTTGCGTTGATAAGTATGACTTTACAATTATTGAATATTTATTACGTCCATATTTATCTTGTATTTTTAAGTATATATAAAGTCACGGTCAATAGCCTACTCCATTTGCCACAAATTATGTTAAAAAAACCTTCATAACATCCCCATATATCAAACTTGACCTTAAATTGGCCTTGGTAAGGCCTCAATTTCATTTGATTTCAACTTAAGTCCAAAAAGCCCCAAATTTACTCCAAATTGTCCATGTCTCAAAACCTCACCAAATTGAGGGCCATAATCCCAAAATTTCCACTCCATCACTTCATGGAAAATCTTCAAAACATCTCCCTTGATCATTTGAACCATTAAATTTGGACTTAGCCCGAGGCTAGCCCAACCTAGACCCATTTCTAGTCTAACATGCCCAAATTGGTGTGGACTATTCAACTTGGACTTAACCCCAGGCTAGCCCATTCTAGATCCATATCTAACTCAACATGCCTAAATTGAAAAAAATTAAAAAATCCCTCAAATTGACCTACCAATTGAACTCAAAATCACTTTAACCCTCCACCAAAAATCTTCATAACAATCATCTACACAATGTTGATGAATCAATTGGGTTAATTGACATGGCTAACCTAGCCCAAACCTAAGCTTTGATCACTTGAACCCACATTGAACCCGTGCATTAAAGATGGCCAAACCACCTTAAAGCAATCAAATTAACTCCACCTCAGCCATTGGTTAGAACCTAAGACTGAGCAAAAAACCCATCTAACTCAAGCTAGATGAGCCATCGACCAAAAGTCCCCCAAATTATGAAATCTTATTGACCACGACTTTATATATACTTAAAAATATAAGTATTTAATACTGCTGCTAAAAGATTTAATCCCTCAGCAACTGTACAAAAACTTAATAACAGTTATAGATTTGATAAATATGAACATAAAAAATATTCAATAATTTTAAAGTCACACTTATCAAGGCAAGTATATGTATCGCTTAAGTAATATAAGACTCTAAAGGAGTCCTAGATATCAATCCCACAGGGAGTAATATTAGAAATACGAACTAATATTTTAGAAAAGCAATACTTTAATTGCAACAATGAAGTTCAAATTGCTTATCTATCACTAATAGGCAATTGAAATAAATATGTAATTTTAATAACTATTAAATAACTAAATATACTAATGAAGGTTGAAATGTGATATTCAATATAAGAAAGCATCATGCTCCTTGCCAAGAAATTATAGTGAATAGATAAATAGAATTAGTTCAAATTATATTGTGCAAAATAGGAGCATACCTATTCTTTACCCTTTGGTCCAGACATAAAGAACATTGACTAATACTACGCTTGTTTACTGAATCTGCGGCTAGGCTGGGAGGATACCAGATGTCACTTCAAAGCTCCCACGTTCCCCTCGCCTGAGGGCTAACATCTACACTTCAGCACCCAAACGATAAAACCGAATTGGGGATTTTAGTCTGTCACTCTAAAATCTCCAATTCTA